GGGGGATGTTGGGGAAATGGCATCGCAGCGTGTGGCTCACCTGTCTCTGCTGAACACTTCCATTCACACCCCACTCCCCCGTCCCCACTCCCTCCCTCCTGCCAGGATTCAGTGCCAAATGTCCATTGCCAGCAAGAAAGGAGAAGGGGAGAGGGGCTGGGGGGGGAGCGGGTGTTGCCTCTGGCCTGCCTCACAGTGCCAGACCCCCTCCCTCGTGTCACCCCAAGAAGGACCAGCTTAGTTGCTCTGAACCTTCGGAGCCTTTCCTTTGAGGGATGGGTCAGGGGTGTCTGGGAGGCATCCTGGCTCTTAGACTATACATCTGTTGTGGAAGTGAGGGTGACACTCCTACCCTGGGCATAAAAGGTTCTGGGAGCTCTGATGCCTTTGGAAGTAGTGGTTTTTCAGATGTTGTAAGGGAAAGGTTCTGGGGCGAGGTAAGAGGTCCCGGCAAAGCCACAGGTCTCAGGGATGTTATTTGGATATTAGTCTTCCGTCATTAGCGAGTTCTGCGTGGGCTGCCTGTGTAAGTCCCCCCATCCCATCCTGTGCTCCAGGTGGGAGGGGTAGGGCCCTGTGGGGAGCATGTGTGCCCTCCCCGACTCCTCAGGCAGCCTTGCCCCTTCCCTCATCGGCCTGGAGATGCCCGCGTCGGGGAGGGTGCTGGGGAGCCAGCCCTGAGCCCCAGGCCGGCGCGCCCACGCTGGCCCCTGCCTGCCTTCCCGCGGCATCGCCTCTGCAGCCCTGTTCACTCTCCCCTCCTCATCTGCTCACCCCGTGCCCTGGTTGCCTGTCACCTGGACTGACGGTCAGGGCTCCACTCGGTTCTCGCCTTTCCTGCCAGGCCCCTGCTTGGTGCCCAGGGTTGGTCTGCCCTGCGGCCACGTACCTTCACAGCCCCGTGCCACACGGCGTGGCACCAGCGCATCGCCAGCTCACCGTCTGTGCAGCTTCACGTGCACATCCTCCATCCCGGCGGGAGCAGCCTCACCGTAGTGTGGCACTTTGGTAGGTGCTCCCGGGGCACCTGACCTGGAACTGGAGCTCAGGAGGCCTGCCCGGTAGATGAGTTTGTTTTCTGTTTCCCAGATGCGGGGCTGTGGCCCAGAACGGTGCCATTGTTCTCTCTGCCAGTAAGTTCCAGCGGAGGGAGGCCTTGTGGCCTGGGGCCTGATGAAGGAGCAGGGTGCCCAGGCAGCCGGCCTGGGGAGCTGTTATCGTCCAGACTTTGGCCTCAGGGCTTCTTTCCCTGTGGCTTCTAGATCCCAGGTGTCTTCACCTTCCTCCCCTGCACTTCTGCCTCCACCCCTGGCCGGGGGGCCGGTCCCCACCACCCTGTGTCCCACCCACCCAAGCTGGGCTGCTGGCCACTACCTCTGGCCTCAGAGGCCTTCACCGAGGGTCCGCGGGGGAACTCAGCCCTCCTGAGGCGTGCTCTTCACCCCTCTGGAACTGATCCTCTCCAGAGGGCAGCAGAGACAGAGGCAGTATCCCAGGGGCTTTTCCCCGAGAGGGCCAGGCTCATCTCATCTCTCTCTTCAGCTCCTCCAGCCCCTGTGCCCCTCCCCAACTGCAGAACAACGGGGGACACAGCTTGCTGTTCTGAGTGGGTTACCGGAGCTATTTAACTGTGTCCTAAGCACAGGCTAAATGCAGAATAACCCAACTATCTCTGAGGCCGTGTTTTGAGGAAGGGGTGACCTTTCTCCTAAGAGCTTTGGAGGCAGGTGCCGTGGGCACTGGTGGCGGTGGGCGAGGTCAGCAGGCAGAGGTGCCAGCCCCTCTTACTTACCTCAGGGTTGTTTTCGTTTCTTTTTTTTTTTTGTCCTTTCAGGTTGGAGGCCGGCGCTGAATCTCGCCGCCCTGGACTGTGCTCAGGAGACCAACACCGCAGTCTGCAGAGACTTCGACATCCCTGGCTTCCCGACTGTGAGGGTGTGTGACCAGGAGGGGCGAGCGGGCTCGGGGGCAGTGCTGTCGGAGCACATTGTCAGCTGCTCCATGCTTCCCTGGTGTCTGCCTGACTGCTGGGCTCTGTGGTGTCCTCCCAGGCTTCTGGGCTTGACCTGCTTAAATCACAGCCCCTAGAGCATGTACCTCTTTTAGAGGCAGAAAGGGATGTGAGCTGGGAGGCAGAAAAGAAAGAGGCTCACTTGGTCTGGCACATGCTCCCCATTATAAGGAAAAGGGGCTGTGTGTGGTTGTGTTGGGATGGGCAGATTGTAGCTGTGAGAACTGATCATCACCTGAGCTGGTGAGAGCTCCCAGCTCCCAGGGGCCTCTTTCCAATCAATTCCTCTCCCGCCTGACCTCCCAGCCTTAGAGGGCTGATCTAAACCCTGTGAAACCGGGCTTTAGGCTCTGACCCACCTGTAGGCAGGATCAGACCCAGGGGGTCTCATGGTCCCCCAGAAAAGGTCCCCTGAGACAACTGGCCAACCTCATCCTCATCAGGCAAGTGCCTTGAACCCAAGAGGCTCAGAAGTGACCTGGCAGGAGAGCCTTAGCCCGGTGCCTCAGGCAGCAGGGATCTCCATCACGGGAGACATCACACCCAACACGCGAGGGCCCTGTCACCCCGCCTCTGGCTGCAAGTAGCACGGGCTCTCTGATGAGGCCCTGCCTGCCAGCCTGCCCACCGCGGGCATCAGCCACTTAATTCACATCTGGACAACTTCCAAGGCTCTCACATCAGAGGCTCTGGGAAGCCCAGAGCAGCAAGGCTGTGCCGTTATACTTAGCACCCTCCCCAGAGCTCAGGCCCAGCCGTAATCCAGTTAGTTCTCTTCCAAATTAAAGAATCCAAATCAAAATCTCCCTCTCCACCTATAAATAATTAGCCTGCTCCCACCAGAATGGCATCTAGAAAAGCAATTTCCTCTGTGGCCACTAAGAATAATCAGGAGATACGTTCGGTAGATCTCCTTTCTGCCCGTGGACGCCACCGAGTAAGCATCGTCGACGTCTCCCCCACCTCCACTGCCGTCGTGTCTAAGTCAGAGTCACCCAAAGAGCCCGAACAGCTGCAGAAGCTCTGCATCGGAGGTCTGAACTTTGAAACAACCGATGACAGTCTGAGGAGCCATCGTGAGCAGCGGGGAGCGCTCACAGACTGTGGTAACGAGGGATCCAAGCACCGGGCGCTCCAGAGGCTTCGGGGTTGTCACGTGTGCCACTGTGGAGGAGGTGGATGCGGCCATGAAGGCAAGGCCACACGAGGTGGATGGAAGAGTTGGGGAACCAAAGAGGGCCGTCTCAAGAGAAGATTCTCGAAGACCTGGTGCCCACTTAACTGTGAAAAAGATTTTTGTTGGTGGCATTAAAGGAGACACTGAAGAACATCACCTAAGAGATTATTTTGAACAGTATGGGAAAACTGAAGTGATTGAAATCATGACTGACCGAGGCAGTGGCATTGCTTTCGTAACATTTGATGACCATGACTCTGTAGACAAGATTGTCATTCAGAAATACCACACTGTGAATGACCACAACTGTGAAGTAAGGAAAGCCCTATCTCAGCAAGAGACGGCTAGTGCCTCATCCAGCCAAAGAAGTCGAAGTGGTTCTGGAAACTTTGGTGGTGGTCGTGGAGGGGGTTTTGGTGGGAATGACAGCTTTGATCGTGGAGGAAACTTCAGTGGTCGAGCTGGCTTTGGTGGCAGCCGCAGTGGTGGTGGATATGGTGGCAGTGGGGATGGCTATAATGGATTTGGTAACGATGGAAGCAATTTTGGAGGTGGTGGAAGCTACAATGATTTTGGCAGTTACAACAATCAATCTTCAAATTTTGGACCCATGAAAGGAGGAAACTTTGGAGGCAGAAGTTCTGGCCCCTATGGTGGTGGAGGCCAATACTTTGCCAAACCCCCAAACCAAGGTGGCTGTGGTGGTTCCAGCAGCAGCAGTAGCTGTGGCAGTGGCAGAAGGTTTTGATTACTGCCAGGAAACAAAGCTTAGCAGGAGAGGAGAGCCAGAGAAGTGACAGGGAAGCTACAGGTTACAACGGATTTGTGAACTCGGCCAAGCACAGTGGTGGCAGGGCCGAGCTGCTACAAAGAAGACACGTTTTAGACAGTGCTCACGTGTATGGGCAAAAACACTCGAGGACTGTGTTTGTTACTAATCGTATAACAGGTTATTTTAGTTTCTGTTCTGTGGAAAGTGTAAAGCATTCCAACAAAGGGTTTTAATATAGATTTTTTTTTTGCACCCATGCTGTTGATTGCTAAATGTATAGTCTGATCATGACGCTGAATGAATGTCTTTTTTTAAAAAAAAAAAAAGAAGAATCAGGGAATGCCTTTGAAGACTGAAAAGCCAAGCATTGCCCCTGGAACAAGATATCTCTGAGTTCAGGGGCTTCAGTTGCCAGGCAGAACCATGAACCATATCTGAGCCTGATGAGGCCAGGAGAATTCATCTGGAGAGCAAGGCCCCAGGCTCCTCCAGCAACATCCAGCTCTAACTCCATGTGACCTTTCTGTTCTCATGGCCAGTGAAATCCTGCTGCGTTCAGGGTTTCCACAGCCCCGGAGAGCTCCCTCCCACGCTCCTGTTACCACTTAGGGTCAGGGCCCAAGCCCCCATTCAGCTGGCCTGGGGAAGTGTCCTGAGCCAACAGCTACTGCCGTCTCATTTAGAGGTGGCAGCGGAGACATTGTTTGTCAACTGTCTCTTTTAAGTAAAAGGCTTCCATGACAGGGCCATTGTCCTATCCTTGGCCCCAAGATGTGTAACTTAAAATATTCAAAATTACTCTCCAAGGGGAGGACGGAGCCCTCTGTTCCTTCTGCTGAGGCAGGGCAAGCAGCCCCACGTGGGAAGCTGGGGGAAGATCAATGTGGCAGCAGGAGTCCCTGCACAGGGGAAGGGGGTTGGCATTGGTCCCGTGGCCAGGTCGGGACATCCTGTGGGGGTTCGGTGGGGGCTGGTGCCTGGGACATTCTGTTTCTGTCTGAAAGAGGCTGGGGCTCGGGGGGTTGGAAGGAGGTGGCCCAGGTATGTCGGGAGATCCAGAAGCTTCTCAGCACCTATCTGAGTCATTCAGCACACACAGCCTGAGTGCCCCCAGTGACTAATCATCTCCTCAACTGCCCATCCTGCTGTGGGAGGGGTGCTGGCAGAGCCCTAAGCTGGGCTCCTTAACTGCCTTCACACTGGCGGCATCTGGCTGGGCTGGGCTGAGCTGGGCTGGTAGTGACCTGTGCATTTCTTACGAGCTCCAGAGACCAGTGTTGTGACCTCCCCTCGGCCAAGCCCTCCCAGCCTCTCCTGAGGAGGCTGCAGTTCAGTTTCAGCAGGGAGAGGGGCTCTGTGCCTTGTCCTTAGGGCTCTGGTCCAGGGTACAAGTGGTTCTAGCTCCTGATCAGTCTCTGTTCTAAGGCCCTAAGCAGTGGCTTTCAAACATTGTTACTGTGACCTACAACATTTACAGTGAGATCCAGAAGTTGGTTTGTATCTGTTATCCCTAAAACAAGTGTTTCATAAAACACTATTCTTCGTAAGTGCAGTACATGCTATTTTCTGTTCTGTGTATTTTTTAAAAAGTACTGGCTGTGATTCACTAACTTGATTTTACAACTTACCACTAGATTACTTCTAGTGTTTGGAAAACACGACTCAGATTCCAGATCTCCAGAGATTCTGGCCCGTTGAGAGCCCGGTGTGCGTATGGGCTGCGTGGCTGGACCCCCTGGGAAGCAGTACACCCTAGAGGTGGGCCTGGCTGCCAGCAGGCCAGAGAGATGGCCCTGTACCTGTCTGCCATCCCCTGGGGACTGGAGCCTGTCCTCACTCCCACCCATCAAGGCTGAGAGCTCTAAGATGAGGACATGTGTTGAACAGGGGGAGAGAGTGTCGCTGGTATGACAGGGACAGGCCCGTACAAGAGTATGGCCACTCCCAGTAACATGTGTCATTGTCCCTTTCCTCTGCCTCCTGCGCCTTGTCTCCATGAGCAAACAGTGCGCTTCTACCAGCCCAGCCTGTTTAGCAAACAACTGGCCCTGCAAGGCGGTCCAGCTGTGTCCGGGCCCTATCAAACTGGAGCCGGTGCCCATCTGGAAGAGAACAGAGGGGAGGGAGGGAAAGGTAGCTTAAAGCTGGTTTTGGCTGGAGCTTGGGGACCTAGAGGCTGGAACTTCAGGGGTAGAGGCTTTGCCAGTGGGCTGCAGGAGTGCCCCTCAGTGGGTAATGGAGTAGGACCCTTTGTAGCCAAAGGCCTGGCTGGGATCAAGATTACAGGAAGCAGCAGCATTGGGTGGGAGAGGACAGAAGTCTTCCCTTTGCAAGATTCTGAGGAGATAATTGACACGAGTTCAAATCCTGGCTCCCCTGCTTACTGTGACTCGGGAAATCATTTAATGCCCTAGCCACTGGCCTCAGTTTCTTTGTCTGAAAAATGGGATGATAATATCTACCTAATAGGATTGTTGCCAACTATGAAATGAGGTCTTACGTGGGAGAGTGCCAAGACACTGTGGTATTATTCAAAGTTCCATAAATGTTAGTTGTCTTCCTTCCTGTTGCCCTATGGGCTCGTGGTAGCCCCTCTGTGATACCCCATTTGAGGCAGTCCATCCATCAACAGCCGTTGAGTGAATATCTGCTCGGGGCACAGCACTGTGCTCATCATCATGGAGAAGCCAGACCTGTAGGCCATGGCCAGAAACATAAGCGAGGGCGTCCAGACAGGAAGGCGCTGAGCACAAGGGCACTCAGAGCTCCCAGCTAGTTGACAGGCAGAGAGTGATGTGTACATGGTGAACGCTGGGGGCGTTTGCCTGGGGTCACTGAGTTCTTTCCTTCCCACATCAGAAGAGGACTTCATGGGGGAGGAGGAGTTCCCGGAGGTGGGGGACTTCCGAGTGGGTGGAGTTTGGCTGGGAGAGAGGAGGAATGCGGGCAGGATGTGAGAGCAGAGGATGTGGGTGGAACAATGTGGGGAGTTGAGAAGGCTGGTCTGGCTGGAGCAGAGGCTCTTGTGCGGGGCTGAGGCAGGACCCTGGAAGGAGGGAGCCCAGGGATGGCAAGTCCTTGAATTCAAGGCTGGGAGTGGGGAGTACCGTCTGGGCTGTTACTTTTTGTGGCTCTTGTGAGATGTCAGGGAGGAGGACAGGACTCAGAAAGACATCTCCTGCCTCTCTCTGGAAAAAGGAGATAGGCCCCCCTCCCAGCAGTCACCTGCCCTCTGCCAGGTCTCTCCTCCGCTGACGGTCCACGAGGTAGGAACGGTTGAGCTGGTGCATCCTCGCAGGCTCGCTGTAGGGATTTGGAGGTCACTCTCCTTAAAACTTGTTTTGAAAGCTTGGATTCAGTGCCATTGATGGTTGCCACTACAAAGCGTGCTTTCTGTTTAGCCTTATTTGGCCCCCAGGAAGGCAGTTGCTCCTGGATAGGTTGGTAAAGACCTGCCCAATGCCATCTGGTCACCTGCCTTTGCGGACACAGGGAGGATTCCAGGGGCTCCACGGTTGGGGAGGGCAGAAGCTCCTGTGTCAGGTGTTGAGAGGAAAGGGACTGGGTGCTGACCGCTTCTGGAGGAAAGGAAACTCCCTGCTGGAGTCTTAATTGCCTGTTTCCAAGGAGTGGTAGCCCTTTCCCTTGGGTAGGGCACACGCCTCCAACAGCTGAATTAATAAGGATGCAGATTAATAAGGGGACAAAAACGTGCCCTGACTCGATTTTAATGTGATTTTTGCATGAGCTTCCAAGCTGATCAAAGGGTAGAGATTCTCTGTTCAACTGAACAGATGTCCTTTGAGTGTTTCCATGTCCTAGACACTGTGCCAGGCACTGTGGGGCTTGCAGAGGTGGGAGGTGGACATGATCAGACCAGAATTGTCCCTTAGAAACCCAAACAAAGTGGCAGTGAGGGTGATGGCTCTATCATTTGAAAAGATGGAGCATATGACCATTTCTGAGGGCATGAGGTGGGGACAGGTAGAGACAGTTGTAGTGGCCCAGGAAGTAGGTGGTAGGCTCTGGTCTAGAAAAGGCAACTGGTCTCAAGGACTGTAGAAGAGATATCACAAAGGTCAAGTTCACAGACCACAGGCGTTGGTCTGGGTGATGGGGAGGAGGGCGATCACTGGGTGAGGGAAGGAACATGGGTGGAGAAACAGGTTGTGGGAGGGGTGACTCAGTCTTGCAGAGTGTGTGTGTATTGGGGGAGGGCTGCCCTGACACCTGGAAGAAACAAGTTAAGACAGGTGAGGACCTGAGACGGGGTTCAGGTCACAAGCCATTTGGACAAGGTAGATGACATCAGCAAGGGAGACAAACAATGGGTTGGTTTGTCCATTCACCCATTTATTCACTCATTCATTCAAAAGCATAGCTTGAGCCCCTCGTTTGTGACAGCACCTCCCAGGGCTTTTTAAACAGCAGAGTGCCATGGTCCGACACGTGGCTGGAGGAGAAACTGGGGGCAGGAGATGGCGCAGGAGAGGAGTCCAGAGCAAGGCTGGGACAAGGGCGAGGGGAAGGCTGTGAAGGTGGCCATGAAGGCCCGGGCAGTGTCAGGAAGACCAAGGGAAGGTGGTGACATGAAGGCAAAGAAGGAGAGTGGCGGGAAGATGTGGCACAAAAAAAAAAACCCTGGCCGAGGGGGGAGAAACAGGCAGTGATAGCATCAGATACTGCAGAGAGAGCAGGAAGGGCTGGAAGGTCATTGGACCAGCCAAAGAGAAGGTCAGCTGAGCTTTCCAGGAGTGGTCCCAGCTGAGCGGTGGGGGCATGAGCCGCAGCCAGCTTCGCGGGAAGGAAGAGGACTGAGGGCAGACACTGTTTCGAGAAATTTGGTAGCACCGGGAAGTGCTGGAGAAGCCTCTGTTCCCATCCTCCATCCCTTCGTGTCCTGTTTTTTAACTTTAGATTAGGAGGATCTGAACCTGTTTGCAGGCCTAGGGAAGGAGCTGGTAGACAAGGGGAAAGATGAAAGAGAGATTAGTTGATAGGAAAAAGTTCCTCTAGAGTGTGAGGTATGGGAACCAGCCCTCACTTGGTGACATTGTTCTGGAAGGTGGCTGGGAAGCTTCTGGGGACAGAAGGGAAGCCTGCGTGACTGAAGTAACTGGAGAGAGGAGGGTGCCTTCCCTGTGGCCCTGTACCTCATGAAGGAGGGGAGCTCTTGGAATTCCTGCACTCCCCTATTGCAGGCTCCTGTCTGACTCCCCACTGCCCACAGCTGGGGCCTTCAGAAGGCTCAGCTGGGGTCTGGGGAGGCCGCCCTTTGATGGAAGTAATGCCAGGCCCTTTTCATAAGGCACCTGCTCAGATCTTGGAGGCCTGATGGTTGAAGAAGAGTCAACCACACTACTTTACAGTGGCCGACAGTAACAACTGTAGCCGTGGAGAGCCACATGGCTTAAGGCGTCAAGACGTCAGTCATGTTTTTCTGCCTGTGGAAGCAAGTTGAAGTCTGTTCTGTCTGTACAAGGGCACCGTCACTGTGAATAACTGCAGCTGTAAAGGTCATCCTCTGGGTTATTATCTGTGAGCAAACCAAACCTCAAATAGGTGTGTCTTTTATTTTGTTCCTGAGAAACAGTGTCAGCCCATAAATGCCTTAACGTGCTTTATCTACTTGAGTTCATGTCACAGTCCTAGAAAACTCGGCTCGTTTTTACAAGCATAAGGGTAGCGTATACTTTTATTCATTCACAATGTATTCAGTGACTGCGAAGAACACTCTTGTGAGTATATGTGGCATGTGTCCGTGGCTGGTTTTCACCCAGAATAAAAGTTTATATGAATGCTCCAAGTAGAGAGAGGATAAAACAGGGTCCAGGTGAGGTCAGCAGTAGCGGGAGAAGGTTGCAGGTGGGGAGAGATGGGCGGCTCCTCTGCATCTTTGTTGTTCATGTGGGAGAGGGGGGCAGGTGGCCTCCAGATTTCAGTTTTCTGCCTACAAATGGCTAGAACCGACAAATCTAGCTGATCAGTGTTTCCTAGGGTTTCAAAGGAACGAGGGAAGGGGCTGATGACGATATAATAGTGATAATGTTAACATTTATTGATTTCTTACAGTGTGCACCAGGTACAGTGCCAAGCACTTTGGATTGTATTGTCATTGAATCCTCGCAGCAATTCTCCAAGGTAGATGGTGTCATCCTCATCTTAAAGATGAGAAGGTTCAGAGAGGTTAATAGAGTGCCCAAGGTCACACAGCAAGAGCATAGCAGAGCCAGGCCTTGAACCCAGGTCCGGTAGACCTGAGGGCCTGCATTCAGCCACCAGCTTGGGATAAGGCCGAGCAGCTGTGCTACTCGGCAGAGGCCCAAGGTGGCTACAAGTAGCCCCAAGGTTAGGGACCTCAAGAGGAGGCCTCTTCCCAGACTGCAGGCTCTCCCCCAGGCAGTTAAGTGGCCATCTGTCAGGACAACTGAACTCTGTTACCTCCTGAGCCCAGGAGAGCTCAAGCCAGAGTTCTGGCAGCTCTCCCACCGCTTAGACAGGAGCTCAGATTCTAAGGAGTTGTCCTCTGTTCTCTCTGTCCTCTCTCCCAAGGAGGCAACAGACTGGGCCTGGGTGTCATGTACATGGGGAGAGAGTTAAACTGGCCCATCTGTAATAAGGCTTGTTTCTTCAGGGGCTCAAGCCCACCCCTCAGTAGAACCAAACTGGACACCCCTCCCTTCTGGAGTGTCTGCTGAGCCAGGCTGGGAGTCCTCGGTGGCCAGAGACATGAGCCTCGCTGCCCCTTTTCCAAGATAAGGAACCAGGACAGATCGCCTCAGAGAGCAGCTAACGTTGTCCAGGGTGTGCGCGGGGGGTGTGAAGTGACTTCACTTTATTTTTTCGGATGGGTCTGCATCACTTATTCATAGAGCAACTATTTTCTAGTCCCTATGTGCCGGGTCCCAGCACTTCGTAGAAACAGACCCCCCTCAGCCAGGTGTCCGAGCCGCAGCTTCCCGGGGTGCTCCAGAGCTGTGAGGGTGGGGATCAGATGCAGGACACCAGGGAGAGGAACCAGGGTCCCGCTCCAAGAGCAGAGACCTCCTGCTCTCATTTTACAGATAAAGAAACTGAGGCTCACAGAAGTTAAGTCATTTCCCCAAAGTCACCCCGTTTAGTAAGCAGCTGGGTCTCAAACACAGAGCGCTCAACTGGCGCGGGTGTTGTGCTCTTAGCTCCACTGACTCTTTTCTGTGTGTTTGCTTCCAGTTCTTTAAGGCCTCTTCCAAGACCGGCTCAGGAGCTACACTGTCAGGTGGGTGTCCCAGCTCGCGGGGTCTCATTGGCGCCGTTAGCATCTTTCTCCCCCTCTTTCGCCTGGGCTTCTCCTGGGGTGAAGAGAGCCCAGCAAGGTCTGCCGGGTGAGGAGGTCCCCACAAACAAATTTGTGTTTTCCTGGAAATGTCGTTCCCAGCCAGACTGGAAGATGCCTTTGGGAAAACAAGGCTGAAGAAGCCCTTCCATTTGGGCCCATCCGGGAAGCAGGGAGGGTCACACGTTCCCAGAATAGCCCTTCTTGTCCAAGTGGGGTTGACACGCAGAGGGGCAGCCAGATAGCGTGGGGAGGGCCCTCAGGGCCCAGGTCTGAGGGACTCTCGCCTGCCCTGAGGGATGGGTCCCCCTGCCATGCTTAGGACCACAGGGGTGGGATGCCCCCGCCCCTCATACAGAGGAGGACTGAGATGTGCTCTGTTTTGCTCAGCTCATGCCCTGGGCCCTTTGCTTCCATGAGGCAAGCTGACAAGGGCACTGGGATTCGTTCTCCTCTCTTCACGCCCCTTGCCTGTGTCCATCTTCATTTACAGTGGCTGGAGCTGACGTGCAGATGCTGCGGGAGAGGCTCATTGACGCCCTGGAGTCCCATAATGACACGTGGCCCTCCGCCTGTCCCCCACTGGAGCCTGCCAGGTATTTGGGGCTGGGGCAGGCCCAGGGCAGTGTGACAGGATGGCAGGCCTGGCAGTGAGAGGACAGTGGGGGCAGCAGGGCTGGGGACCGGGCTGGTTCTTCCTGTTGCCTGAGTGGTGGACACTCCAGTGGACTGGAGCCCAGAGCTGCCTGGAGCAGCTGGTGGAGGGCTTCCCATTGCTGGAGGTCCTACCCGAGGAGCCCTGACTTCCTGGGGCTGACAGGGATGCAAGGGCCCATCCCACCCAGTGGGAAGGAAAAGACGGGAGGGGTTCTCTGGGTCATACCTGCTGCTGCTTCTCAGAACCTGGAATATCGGAGGGATGCAGCTGGATTTCACATGATCTAACCCAGGGAGGGTCCCTGAGAGGGTGGGCATGGGGAGGAAAAAGGGAGACCAGATGCCGTTTAGAGGAAAGGGGATGGGGGACTGAGAAGCACAAAGCCCTGTAAAATGAAGGTGCTCATTTCCTGAGCCATAGCAGTGACCGGGGGATGGGGAGGTGACTCTCCTCCCTGGGCTGCAGAGCATCAGGTGGCTGGTGCCCTATATCTATCTACCTGCCCGGCAGCCTTCCAGGATCGCCTCCATTCTAGGAAAACAGGATAATGAGGTGCATGATGTCTCACTCTAACTCTCCCACAGAGGGAGACAGGTAGATTGAAAACACGAGGTCCTGCCCTTCTGGACGAGAACTCCGGATAGGAGAAAGCCCACCTTAAGGGGCCAAGAAGGAGCAAATCCAAGTACCAGCTGGGGCTGCTAGAGGGAGCTCAGCCACAGAACACAGTGAAGGTTCCGGATGCTGAGAAGGCCTCAGGAGGCAAACACTGGGGCTTCAGCGCCCACACTAAGTCTGCTGGTGTCTGGAAAGCTGAGGCCCTGCTGAGGGACTGTGTTTCCAAGTGTCAGTTGGTGTTGAATCCAACTCACAATGATTCTTTTATCATCTTTCCCAATTCTCCATCCTCCCAGAGGGCCTCATGGAGCCCCTGGACTGAGTATATGGTCTTGGTTTGGGGTTCCACAGCCAGACCCCATCTCTCCAGGAAACACCTCGCTCCTTCTTCCATTTCTCAATGATCTTGTCTCTGCCTCTCTCTCTCTCTTACACCCACCCTCCCTCATGGTGCCTTTTCAGCCCAGAAGATCTCAAAAGCAACCAGCCAGGTAAACCTGCCAGCCTCTCTCAAAGTGATCCTTCTAGAGAGCTTTAGGGAGGAGGCGGGGACCTGTGGTGGAAGGTGGGCTGCCTCTTCCAGAGTGTGAGTGGGAATGGACGGGCTGGGCGCGGGTTACGTGGTCAGCCGTCCGTGGGCTCGCTCTTCTGCCAGCCTTGGGGAGGTCTGGGGAAGTTGCCTGTGAGGCCACCTGCTCCCACCCCAGGGGCTCTCAGTGACCATCCGCCCACTGGGGTACACTCGGGCCCCCACCTCTCTGGCATGGCGTTTGTACTGTTGCTGGGCTGGGCTCCACTGGCCCCATGTTGCGCCTTCTGTTTGGAGGTAACCACTGCCCCATCACTGGATCCAGAGGAGGGAAATAGGTCATCAGGTTGGGGACAAAAGTAGATGCTGTTGTCTCCTGTTACATGTCTGAAGATGTTCTGCTTTTAATTGAAATAAGGGAACAAATCATTTTTGTATCATGCAATTGTTTTCTATTGAAACTCTGCATTTTTAAAACAGCTTGTATCTTAATTCTTTGATTTGGGGGGAATAATAAGATTTGCCTTCTTATTAATTTCCACCTTCGTCCTGGGGCCCTAGTTTCCTCGTATTAAAATAAGGAGGTTAAAATCTTAAAATAAAATTAAATAGCTTCTAAGATCTCCTGTACCCAGGACTTTCTGATTCTTTAGAAATCTTAAAATAAGATTAGATAGCTTCTAAGATCTCCTGTACCCAGGACTTTCTGATTCTTTAGTTCCTTTTGTATGCCTGCTCCAGGGGTGGAAAAAGCACATCTCCCAGTTGGTAGTGGCTTAGCACAGATCAAGGCTTGTGTCTGATGGGTAGTAAACACCAGCTTCTTAGGGGACCAATAAAAACTGCCCTCTAAGCCTGGGCCTTACCCAGAGCATAGAAACACCTGGTCTCAAAGCGTGCCTCCCCCGGTCTCCTCCTTAGACTGCCCGTACACACTCCTGATGCTGAAAAAGCAACCCAAATAGGTGGGTGAAGTGAAGAACCAGGTTTCGGTAATAGGCAGAGAGCGTCTTTTGAGACTCAGGGTTTGGTTTACTCCCACTGGAGGGCTGGCATGGAGAGACTTCCTCGAAGTCTTGTGTGCAAACAGAGGAGGAGGTGTGTGTGGCCGCATTCACGGTACTGGGTCAGCCACGTCTGCTGTCGCCGGCAGTTTTGCTTTCTTCCCACCACAGAGAGAGTGACTGCCAGCGTTGTCTCTTGCAGGCTGAAGGAGATTACTGGATTCTTTGCAAGAAATGATGAAGATTACCTGGCCCTGATCTTTGAAAGGGAAGGCTCCTACCTGGGTAGAGAGGTGAGCTGCCTGCACGGTCCCACAGCTCCTGCATAGCCGCTGGGAGGGAGCCAAGAGCAGGGCTGTTCCTGTGCCCTTCTTAGCGCAGCACTGGCCTGACCCCTGCTGGGGGAAACGGGAAGTGTAGGAGCTGGACCTTTCTGTCTGCTTGGATCTTCCTCGTGGAAACTGAGAATGATAACACCTGCTGTTTATTGAGCATTGCACTAGATTGCTGACACACGTAGTTGCTGATCTTTCTAATTAACGAAGATGGTCAAATAACAGGTCGAAGATCACACAGCCAGTGAATTGGTAGAGCAGGACTTCAAACCAGGTCTGTCTGCCTCCAAAGCTTGTGTTATTTCCACACTACCTTGCCCGCAAAGAATTGGAGTCAAAAATCTGGGGGGGAGGGAACATCAGAGAGCCTCTAGTCCCTCTTGAGGAAACGGGGTCCCTTCCCAGGTGAAGCAGATAACAGAATCAGGCGGGTTGGAATCTCCACTTCATCACTTATGTGCTGTGTCTGTGATCACGTTACTCAACTTTCTTGAGCTTCGTTTCCCTACCTTTGAAGTGGTGACAGTTACCTTTTTCAGCGTATGTTTGGGAACATCAAGTGAGGCGGTTTAGAGGAAGAGCCTGGATGAGTAACTGGCACAGAGTACGTGCTTTATAAAGATCCGTCCCCGGCCTGATGCAGAGAGTCTGCCGTTCCACCGCTGCCTCATGGACTTCGCGGGCCACTGGGTTTTTCCCAGATGCAGAGGTGGGACAGGGTCGGTGCTTGGGAGAAGTTCCAAGGCAGTGCAAGGAGATAGAGAGAGAGGGGATGAAATTAAACACCACTGTGGACTCCGAATGGTTTTCCTCCTGAAACTCCCCAAGCACAGTTGAACGCTCTGAGCTGTCTCCAGACCTCTCAGCCCCGAGAGGGGAAGCATGGAGGTGGGATGGGCAGGGAGCTTTGCTGAAGGAGTCCCATTCCAGGCCTGGCGTCATGCCTGTACAGGTGATTGATAAATGTTCATTGGAATCAGCTCTTCCTCCTACGCTCCCCCATTCCCCTAGTCACCAAGGGCACTGGTCCCGTGTCCATGCAGGGGTGCCCAGGGATGGCTAGTTTGAGAGTCAGGAGGGCACAGTGGCCAAGAGCCCCAGCTCTGGAGGCAGATCGATCTGGGATTGACAGCCCAGCTCAGGCGCTTGCTACATGAGTGACCTGATCACATGATTTCACTGCTGAGCTTCGGTTTTTGCGTCTACTATACGATAGGAGTTTTATTTTTTTAAAGAAATACTTACGTACATAACTATTTACTAGTCATTGTTAGAAGCACTTTTATAAAATTAACCCATTCAGTCTTCTTAACAGCCCTTGGAGGTGGTTATTGTTATTACAATTTTGCAAGTAAGGAAGTTGAGTCTGGGAGAGGTTTAGTCTGGGCGGGCAGGATTTAAACCCAAGCAGCCATGGTATACTGCACCACCTGGCTTGGTCTGCTAGTAATTGTTCCTATTTCATAGTAAGTATTATTTTGAAGATTAAATGAAACAGTCTATATACAGAACATAATACCTATTTAATAAATATTACCTAACAGTATATTTCTCCTTCTTAATCCTTTCTAAAAATAAAACCGTCACGTCTAAGTATGTTTTTCCGATTTGGAATATAGACAGAAAGTCTTACAAATATCAGAACAAAACTGAAACCACTTTTATTTTCTTCCAAATATCAGATACATACACTTTTTTAATTTACTTTTTTTATTGGAGTATAGTTGCTCCACAATGTTGTGTTAGTTTCTGCTGTACAGCGAAGTGAATCAGCTATATGTATACATATATCCACTCGTTTTTGGATTTCCTTCCCATTTAGGTCACCACAGAGCATTGAGTAGAGTTCCCTGTGCTATACAGCAGGTTCTCATTAGTTATGTGTTATACATATTAGTGTATATATGTCAATCCCAATCTCCCAGTTCAGCCCACCCTCTGCTTTCCTGCCTTGGTGTCTATATGTTTATGCTCTACATCTGTGTCTGTATTTCTGCCTTGCAAACAGGTTCATCTGCACCATTTTTCTAGATTCCACATATATGCGTTAATATACGATATTTGTTTTTCTCTTTCTGACTCACTTCACTCTGTATGACAGTCTCTAGGTCCATCCACGTCTCTACAAACAACCCAATTTCGTTCCTTTTATGGCTGAGTAATATTCCATTGTACCACATCTTCTTTATCCATTCGTCTGTTGATGGGCATTTAGGTTGCTTCCCTGACCTGGCTATTGTAAATAGTGCTGCAGTGAACATTGGGGTGCATGTGTGTTTTTGAAAACCACATCTTTTTACGCCTTTTACAAATTGTTCTCATTGGAAAGAAAATTACACCAAATTGGGACTGTCCTCAAGGATTCAAGATGTGTGGTCCGCACCATTCCAAGCAGGCAGCATTTGCACTCCTTACAGCAGGGCAGATGTAGTTGGCGGCAGGAGGCTCTCACTCATCACGATAGTCTACTCTTGGAAAGGTTTCGAGTCTGGCTAGAGCACAGCTGCCACCAGGTGCCTACTCAGGCCTTCCCTCTGTCCAGTGGCTTGGCCTACCCACCACCAAGTGTCTCACTGTCTCTGCAGGTGACTCTGGACCTGTCTCAGCGCCGGGGCGTAGTGGTGCGCAGGGTCCTCAACACACAGCATGACGTGGTGAACGAGTTTGGTGTCACCAGCTTCCCATCTTGCTACCTGCTGTTTCGGAATGGCTCTTCCTTACGGATCCCCGTGTGAGTGTCTCTCTGCCCCCTCTCTCCCCTCTCCCCGCGCTCCTCCTTTCTTCCTGCCTCGAGAGGCTGCCAGCCTTTCACAGGGGCTGACGGGTTCTTTCTCCTGTGAGTCTTCCGAGGAGTCCATGGGCACCCTCTGCAAGAGAAGCAGATATCTGCCTACGGTGGGTGGGGTGGTGGGCATGCTACAGCCAGGAGTCCGGGCCCAGAACGCTGCCCCCAGCTCAGCAGTTCAGCCTCAGGTCCCCGGCGTGCTCAACACCCAGCGTTGGCGCTTCAGCCCCATCCCCACCGCGGCCCTGGCCCTATTCCCCATCCTCCTCTCTCCACAGACAGACTCATTGGCAGTCTGCAAGTGCCTGGCAAGCGCTCAGCTACACCTGACCCTCCCTCCCTTTGGTTTTCTAATTGCAGAAAAGTTCATTAGGAGCCAGACAATAGCCAGTTCCGAAATGCCAAGAGAGAACAATCAGGCCAGCCGCAGCCCCTCTGTCAGGCTCCCGCTGCTGAATGGTGCCAGATGGTGCCTCAGTGCCCTCCCTGGGCAGATGATTGATGTCCACCCAGCCCTGCAGGCAGAAGTGCGAGGGCCAGGGAGACCAAGGCTGGCCTGAGATGTCCAGTGAGCCACTCCTCAGAGCCATTAGTGCCCTCCTGCACCAGGGCTGGGCAGCGCGGCCACTCGCCCTCACCCGGCCCCAGTCACCTGGCAGCACTGGGCCAGGCCTCGTCAGAGAGCGCGGGCGGGGGGCGGTGGAGGGAGGGGCAGGACGATGGCCGCGGGGACAGGGAGGGGCAGGAAGTGCCGGTCCTGGTGGGGAGCGGAGGCATTGTTTCCTCTCTTGGAGCTGGCGGAGGGGAAAATTGTTTGTGACGACGCTGCTTCTAGCCACCTGCTCGTCTGTAAACATGGGGCCGGGACAGTGGAGTGGAAAGCAGTGCTTCCCGGTGCCAGGTCCCCTGGGGTGTCCCGTCACGCTGCTGGTCTTCACATCCCTCCCTCCAGGGCCCTTGACCGGGAGGCGCCGCCTGCCCTTGAGGACTCCTCTTTATGAGACGAGAGAGAGAAATCAAAAGGATCGTCAGAAATGTCGTGGTTTGGGGTCGTTGCTGCTACTTTTTAAAAATCATGTATCAAACTCCCTTGACCTCCCTGGGGAGTAATGTCACCTCTGGTACCTTGGAGCAAGCTTGTGAGCTTCCTTGAGGCCACGTGCCACTTTGTAGCTTTGGTCTCTGGGGAGGGTCGTCAAACCCACCGTCCGGTCCGTGGCCAGAAGGAGCGCTGTCCCCAGAGGGCCCTCCTGCCCCCGAAGGTGCCCTGTCTCCCCACCTCTCCGAGGCAGGTTGAGGAATTCACGGGCCCAGCCGCTTTTCCAGGTGGGTTTTGACTTCAGACTGGTGTCAGAGAGGCTTTCCACAGCATGAGCAGTGAATAGAAAGGTTAACGTGAGGCAGGGCTGCCCCAATTTTTACCTCACTGAGGATAAGACCGATCCAGGTTCAAATATTTCTGAATAAACATTCCTGTCAGGTGAGCCACCCGCCTCCTCTCCTGCCACGAGTTAGCTCTGGGGTTTTGTTCCTCCATGCTCACTGCCTCTCCCCCATGGTTCCCTTCCCTCACAGGCTTATGGAATCCAGGTTCTTCTACACCATGTACCTGAAGAGGTTCTCCAGGGACACCAGCGAGACTGTCCCCACCCCGACTGCGCCGAACACCTCTAGACCCATAGCCCCTACCGTGTGGAAAGTTGCAGATCCGTAAGGCCACGCCTGGGCCTCCTCTTCCCTTCCCTTCCTCACCCTCTCTTCTAATCACAGACACGCCCCCCTTCCTTCCACACTCTGTTCCTTGTCACAAGCTTGGCACGTGTCATACTGAGCCCAGACCCCCCGAGGGCTGGCCTTGGCCTATGGGGGCCCCCGGCCGCTGGCCACGCACAGGAGAGTCTTAAAGGTGTGGAGGCGGCAGCGTCTGCTGACTGTGTTCTTCATGATGGAACGCATACTTTCCGATGCCCACATTCCTTAAGCTTAACTCTATTCAAGACCAAGTAGAATCAGCTTGGAAGGATAATGTGCAGCCTCCAAAACAACTTCCCACCCAAGCAGTTATTTCTGCAGGGCAGATGCAAGCCCTGCCCAGAGTTTACAGTCCCTTAGCAGCATCCCTTCTAGGAAGGCACCCGACCTCACTTGAATGCTTCTGGTGTCAGGAAGCTCACTACTTTTCAAGGTAGCCAGTGTCATCATGCACAGTTGTCAGCACGAGGTAACTGTTCTCTCTGAGGCTCCTTGGCTGTGCCCTGGTGGTAGAATTTCTGCTTGTTGGGCAGGGAGATGGGGCTGTAGACCTCTTGCTCTGGCCCCCAGCATGGTACCACGTGGAAATGGCTGACCAGGCAGCTCAGAGCTGAGTCCAGAGAGCGGCTTCCACAAGGGGGGCTGCACGAGAGAACTGGGGGCAGGGTCACTGGATTTCGGGAAGGATTTTGCATCCCAACACGAGAGACTCTAAGGGTGGAAAGTGCTAGTGGAGAGGTTTGTAGTAAATCAGGTGGGAAGGAAAGAGAAAGTAAGAGGTGGGTGTGCTCATTATAATCATTCAAATTATGATTATTCAGATCATTCAAATTGCTATTATGGCTGACACTTCTAGTCTTATGTGCCAGGCTCTGCTGGGCACTTCCGTCCATTATCTCCTCTAGTCAGGGGGCCACTCCTTAAGGCATAACACAGGAACGGAGAGGTAAACTGAGGCCCCAGGACATGGAAGTGGAGCAGAGGGAGGGGACTTTGGCACGAGGGTAAAGCGCAGGTGGCCACAGTGCTCACCCCGTCAGCTGACCTCATTGGCTTCCCACCACCTCAGGAGGCAGGTGGGGCAGGAGTCCATTTTACAGGTGAGATCACTGAGGCCGGAGAGGCGGGTTGAGTTGCCCAAGCCCCCAGAGCTAGGCCACCATAGAAGGAGGCAAGAATCTAGGGGTCAGGAGGCAGGGGTAGAGAAGCAGCCCTTCCCTCAGGACCCTGAGCCCAGATCTCACAAGAGCGTGATGGGCATGGGGTGGAGCAGCCAGCTGGGAGCCTGCAGCCCTTCCCCCAGGGCTGGGGTCAGCCCGAGAGGTGCAAGATGGAGCCCTGATGCCCAGGGTCTGGCAGCTGCAAGGACGTCAGCCAAAATAAACGTAAAACCCCACTTCCCCTTCTCCCCAGCCCCATTCTCAGCCTTGGCGGGCAGCAAACCCTTGGTCTTTCAAAGAGCACCCAGCTTCCCGAGCCATGTTGTGTGGGTGCGCCCCTGTTGGTCTACTTGTCTGTCCCTAGGGATCTTTGTTCAGAACAGAGAATGAAGCTCAACCTTCTACTAGTGGCCTGATAAAAACACCTTTAGTGAGTGATGGGAGAGGCTGGCCCTGGACCTGCAGAGGGGGAACCCTACTCTGTGCCAGGAGCTGCTGAGAGTTTTACATTTGTGCTTTTGTTTGATCCTCTCAGCAACCTACCTGTGAGCAAGTTATTACTATCCCCATCTTACAGATAAGGAATTGAGGCTCAGAGAAGTTAAGTAATTTGCCCAAGATAACACAGGTAGTTACTGGCAGAGCCAAGTGCTAACCTATTTATTTTATTTTATTTTTTTACTGAAGTGTAGTTGATTTACAGTGCTGTGCCGATCTCTGCTGTACAGCAGAGTGACTCAGTTATACACAGACAGACATTCTTTTGCATGATGGTGTATCACAGGATATTGAATATAGCTCCCTCTGCTATGCAGTAGGACCTTGTTGTTTATCCATCCTATGTGTAATAGTTTGCATCTTTTAACCCCAAACTCCCAATCCTTCCCTCCCCAACCCCAAGTGCTAACTCACAGGACTCTGTGACCATCAGCAGTGCCTCCTCTTCTCTCCCTTTGGCCCTGGGTGCTTCTCCCCAGCCCCTGCCCCATGGTTAATACTCTTTTCTCTCCCTGGCTCCTTCTGGGTCCTTAGCTCCAAGATCTACATGGCTGACCTGGAATCTGCACTGCACTACATCCTCCAGGTAGAAGTGTCCAAGTTCTCTGTCCTGGAGGGGCAGCGCCTGGTGGCCCTGAAAAAGTTCATGGCGGTGCTGGCCCAGGTGAGCAGGACCCTGCCCTCCCTTGTCCGGCAGCCCCACACCACATGGGATCAGTGCGCATCCCTGAAGCAGGCGCCGGGCCAGCCCCTCCCTCAGGAGCTCGCGGTCGGGCTGGACACCTGGACCCGCGGCTGTCCCAGTCTACTATGGGCTGCTACCCTGCGGTCTGCGCCCTCCTCCCGTCAGCCCCGTACCACCAGGGACAACCCCCTTCCCTCACCCTGCCCTGTGCAGGGGGGTGGGTGGGACCCAGGGCCTGATGCCCTGGGGATATTCCCAGCTGGCTCTGCCTGCCTGAGTCCTCTACCTCAGGCCGAGCCTGGAGTGCAGCCTCACTCCCTGCCGCGGTCACTGGGAAAGCAGGACCCGTGGACCCCAGTGAAGGAAAGAAGGCTTTTCTGAATCTCCTCTTTTCCCTCCCAGACTCTGGCCAAAGTCTGACGCAGCTCCCTGGCCTTAGCCGTGCCTTCCTTATTCCTTTGTAGTTTCCTGCCAGCATGGCTACTTCTCCAAGTGTAGCTCCTCCTTACTGAGGACCTGATGTGTGTCAGGCATTTAATCCTCTTAATCTCGCCGCAGGGTGGCAGGTGCCACCCCCATTTAAGAAGTACAGGTCGCTCAAGTGATGTGCCTTAGGCCTCCTGTTTGGTGGTGTCGTGGCCAGGATTTGAACCGGGGTCCCAGCTTTAGAGCCTGTACCCCTTCTCTGCCACGCTCCTTGCTCGTCTCTCAAGGTGAGATGTGGGCTGCCTCTTCCCTCTGCACCTGCCGCCTCCTCCCTCCCTGCATCCTTCTCTGCGGCTGCAGGTCCACTGCCAGTGCTGCCCTACTTAAATCCCGACGCTCTGGCTGCCGAGGACTTGCTGAGTCAGGTGCGGGCTCTGGTCCCCCTCAGAGGCTGACTGCTGACTCAGCCACCCTCGGCCCCCGGGAGCCAGGTCTGAGCCCCTCCTTCTGGCGCAGGTCTGCGGGCAGCTGGGACTACCTCTGGGGGTGGTCTGCGCCTCTCCCTCGGGAACTGCCGCCAGCCTGGTCCCTCTTCCCTCCTCACCAGGCCTGGCCCTCTGGTCCACTTGGCTTAGTGACGGGCATCTGTGGCTGCACCGAGGACCCTGTGAGGTGGCAAGTGCTGTCACAGCGCTGTTCCGGTCTAAGGCAAGACAGCTTTCAGCCCCTCTCAGATGTTCCACGCAGACTGGGCCCCTGTTCTTCAGCCCAGTCTGATAATAGAGCCTTTCCTCAGAGGCCTCGTGAGCCGCTTGGTCCTCAAGTTGCCGAGGCCCAGGGTGGCTGACCCAGAGGCTCAGAGGGGAAGAGTCCTCGAGTAGTTCTGTGTGCTGTCCTCCTGCCTGACACGTGAGGCGGGGCCCCAGGAAGCAGAGAGGGGTCCCCTTACCCCCCCAGTCCAATCCACTCTGAAGCACTCATCCCAGGGGAATTATCATGTGCTGCATGTATCTCTCAGCTGGACTCGAAGCTCGTTTGGGTTTGGCTCCCAGTGGGACTGTTGCAGCCAGTGTGAGGGAAAAGAATGAGACCCAGGAAACGCCCGAGCGGGGCAGAGGCTTAAGCAGCACCCTCTCCGTGGTGCCCGCCGAGCTTCTGCCCTCAGCAATGCTGGAACTGAGTTTGGGGTGAAGGAGTCCTCCCTGCCAGAAGCCAGGACCCTCAGAGAGGAAAGTGGAGGGCTGGGGGGCACGGGCTCAGGGGCATCTGCTGTGCAGCACAGCCCCTGGAGGCTGCGGAGTATTCTGGCCCTACCCTTGCCTGGGTAGCTTTATCCTGAGGAGCAATAATAGTAGCAGCTACCGTTTCTTGAGCTCTGACAAGGTGTCCGACTCTGCAAGGTACTCCTTTGTGTTTTAGCTTATCTGCATTTCTCAGAACAGACTCCACGGGGTGGGTGCTAGCATTATCCCATCACAGAGAGGGGAATGGAGGCCCAGAGGGGTAAAGCACCTTGTCCAAGGTCCTCCAGCCGGTGAGTGGCTGAGCTGAGATTTGCGCCTACGTCTCGTCTAACCCACACCCTTATGCACTCCGTGCGTGGAGCACTGAAAGGCTGAGTGAGTAGAGCTCACTCTGCCTGCTCAGCCTTAGGGACCTGTCAACTGTGAGTATGGCCAGTTGGGAGGCACTGCCCGGCGGCCCAGCCCGGGATCTCCCTGCTCCCTCACGGAAGCGGCTGGCAGGACTGGCCACTGGGTGGCGTGTGGTCACCAGGGTTTCCCTGCTCCCGGCGCAGGGTGACTCCCTGTAGTCCAGAGCCCCTTAATTCATCCTTCCTCCTGACACCGTGGCCTTAGAGGGCGTCATCCTTCCAAATCAGGACGATGGGTGAAGGTCAGTGAGAAACGCTGACTTGAAGCTGTAAATTCGTGTTGAGAGCCCAGAGGCCCGTGTGAGCTGACCAAGAGGGAGCGTGTCAAAGCACAGGATTCTTTCCGGCCACTTCTGCTGGGGGACAGTGTCCAGCCTGGAGATAAGAATACGCCATGACTTTCTCAGAGGACTGGGTCCCTTGGCAGGATTTTCTGTTTAGGGATCATTCCTGTCTGCAGCACCCTTCTTCTCACAAATGCTTTTCTTTGCTGGTTTTCCTCCTGTGTTGCCCTCTCGACCTGCCCCTTCATGGTTTATCTGACCTGCTCTGCTACTGCAGCCCTCTCTCTCCCTCCTCCCCCCACCCTGGGTGTGTTTGTGCGTGCAGTGCGGTGCGCGCACACAGGCATCCATCCTCGTCCCTGGAGTCCTTGTGGTTTTAAAGTGCTGATACTAATCCGATTTGAGTTGACTTATTGTCAGAGTGGCTTTTCATGCTCCTCAGAGACTGTTGGGAGTTCCCGTCAAGATTTGGATCTCGGCTCAAGCCCCTGCACTGCCTTGTCCCCATTGGCAGCCCGTGGAATACAAATGAAAGGCCATTTGCCAGCCTCGCCCAGCTGGTCAGTTAGCGAGTCAGCTGCTCTGTCAGAAGATGAGCTGAACAGAGGCCCGTGTGGCCCAGGGGTCCCAGCAGCCCTGGGCAGCGACACAGGAAGGTGCTCAGCCTTCCTGCCAGTGAGCGTGTGGTCAGGTCAGAACTGGAGCCTGCAGCCTGGAGAGGGGGCGGCCTTGAGGGCCTGGTCCCACTGAGCGCCTCTGCCCACCCCTCCCCCTCGCCTTCGCAGGTGCTCCAGAGCAAAGGTAGTGAGGAACCCACATGTGGGTGTTAGGCAGGATGTTTTCCCCGTGGTCTTGGAACATTCTAAAAAATGCCTCGGCCCACTTCAGCCTGGCCCCCGGCCTTCCCCAGGACTGCGGAACTCTGGGGGAATTATTTCTCACTCTCCCCTTATCGCTCCCATAGTACTTCCCTGGCCAGCCCTCGGTCCAGAAATTCCTGCATTCCATGAGTGACTGGCTCAAGAAGCAACAGAGAAAGAAAATTCCCTACGGTTTCTTTAAAACTGCCCTGGACAGCAGGAAGGAGGTGAGTGTGGGAGGGCTAAGGAGGATCTCCACCTCATGCTTGATATCTATGGGAGTGGAAGGGCTTCACCCTGTCACCTCTGACCTCTGTCACCGACCTGCACTCAGGAAGGAGGCAGTGATCGTGGTCGGGTCCTCCCATTAGGAGCGAGTAAACTGCTGTTTATTGAGCCCTCTCTGTACAGACCTCATTTAATCCTCGCAGCATGAGTGGAAGGCAGATATTATCCCCATTTAGCAGATGAAGAAACAGAGGTCAAATAAGCTAATATCATACAACCTGTAAGTGGTTGGGCTGAGATTTAGAACCAGTTGTGAGACCCCGGTGGTGAGAGAGCTTTTTTTTTTTTTTCTGCGGTACGCGGGCCTCTCACTGCTGTGGCCTCTCCCGTTGCGGAGCACAGGCTCCGGACACGCAGGCCCAGCGGCCATGGCTCATGGGCCCAACCGCTCCGCGGCATGTGGGATCTTCCCGGACCGGGGCACGAACCCGCGTCCCCCGCATCGGCAGGCGGACTCTCAACCACTGTGCCACCAGGGAAGCCCGGTGAGAGAGCTTTTAATTCCAGCCCTCTGTTGCTCCCTGGCATGCTGTGCTCCTCAGCAACGCTTCTGTCCAGGGTCAGCTTTCTGGGCTCCTGCTCTCACAAAGGTGGGCACGTCAGCCAGGAGAGGTGCAGAACCTCACAGACGTGTGGGGTGTCAAAGCTTGACGGGACCTTAGAGATGACCCCCCTCGTTCTACAGAGGGGAGGCTAAGGCTAGAGTAACGATGTGACCCGGTCTGTGTCACGGGTTCTCAGACCTACTGCTCCTTTGACGGGTGTCGCCAGTGGAAGGGAAATGCCACCTTCAAGGTGATAAACTGAAAAAGGGACCATTTGTTCTGGGGCTCTGTGCTGACCTGGAGTCTTCTGCAAGTTGCCCTCCCCACTTCCCACGCCAGCTCCTTTTTCTTCTCCGCATATGCATTCACGTTTGTGTGTGTCCCTTAGGGTGCTCTGACTGCCGACAAGGTGAACTGGGTGGGCTGCCAAGGGAGTCAGCCGCACTTCCGCGGCTTTCCCTGCTCCCTGTGGGTCGTCTTCCACTTCCTGACCACGGAGGCAGCTCGGCAAGATGTAGACCACTCACGAGAAACAGGTGAGTCTGGGCCTGTGCACCCCTTGTGCCTCAGCCGGCCCTGTCCCGCCCTCCGCTGGCTCCCCGCTGCAGGCCTGAATTTAGGGGAGTCCGCCTCTGCAGCTGGCCACACACAAGCAGCGGGCCTGGAGTAGCCACTCAGCCCTGCCCGCTGCCCCCGAGGTGGTGCCCCACCAACGGGCGTGAGGCTGCTCCCTGGCTCTCTTGTAGCCGTAAGCCTGATTTATTTTTAGTCTTCCCGAGAGAGTTCTGGTTCTATTTTTTATACTCCCATAAAGAAAAGAACTATGTCTATTTCACAGTTTATGCAGCTGATACCGTAGACTCAACAATTTTACTGCACTTCCCACTGAAAAATCATTTTCTAGGGGAACCTGGGGAAGTACTTTTCCCCCTTTGCCCTGTTTCATCCCCAAACCATGCAGCTGCTCTCCACAACCCACACTGCCCCACAGCCGCACACAGCGACTGAACAGGTGGGCATCTAGCTCACGGAGGGACCAGGCTGACGCCAGACCCTGGCCCAGCCTGGAGGATACAAGGAGGAAGAGGCAGTCCCTGCTCCCAGTGGGCTGTGAGACAGGTGGGCACAGGGCTGCCATGCAGCCTGCCAGGGCCCAGGGGGAGAGCAGGATGTGCGGGTGGAAGAGAGGGAACGCTCCACGCCATCGGGAAGGGTGGGAGGAGGTAAGTGAGGGGGAACGATGGACAAGAGTCCCCGACAGAGGAGACGGCCTGTGCAGAGACAGAGGGAACAGGGGGAGCTGCCGGATGTGCGGACAGCCAGCCAGTCTGTCAGCCCGGATTTACGGAGTGTCTCCAAAGAGCCGGGCCCTGCTCTAGGGGTGGGGTACGGCAGTGCATACAGCGAGACATCCCTGCCTCAAGGGGACAATAGTCCAGTGGCAGGAGACAGACAGTAAACACAGATCATTTCAGGTGTGATGGTGAGTCGGTGAAGAAGACAGAGCCAAGCGGTGGGGGAGGGGGGCTGGAGAGGGGATGCTGTGTTTAGACAGGGTTTCTGGCTGGGGGAGGCTTCTCGGAGGAGGGGCCCCTGTGCTGAGACCTGATTGGTGAGAGGGAAGCAGCGGTGGGACATCTGGGATGAGAGCCTCCCGGGCTGTCTGCTCAGGCTGCCATAACAAGGTGCTACACATTGGGTGGCTTAAACAACAGAAACGTGTCTTCTTACAGTTCTGGAGGCTGGAAGTCCACAATGAAGACGTTAGCAGGGTTGGTTCTGTTGAGGCCTCTCCTTGGTTTTGTAGATGGCCATATTCTCCCTGGGTCTTCCCACGGTCCTCAGTGGGGGTGTTCCTGGCTACGTCCAATTTCCTCTTCTTACAAGGACACCAGTCATATTGGATTAGGTTGTACCCCAGTGACATCATTCTCACTTAATCACCTCTTTAAAGACGCTGTGTCCAACCAAATACAGTCACATTCTGAAGGACTCAGGGCTAGGACTTCAACATAAGAATTTTAGAGGACACAGTTCAGCCCATAACCCAGGTCAAGGACTAGTAAGTGCAGGGAACAAGTCTGGTGTGTGTGCAGCACCAAAAGGTGGCCAGTGTGGCAGAGCCTGGGAGTGAGGGGAGCAGGAGAGGAGGTGGGCTTGGAGGTCCTGGTGTGGGAGGGAGGGAGATTTCAGTCTCTGCATTATGAGAATCTACTAGGGACCTTAAGCAGGGGAGTGATGCACACGAGATCGGTGCTTTAGAGCGATTACTGGGTGGAGGGTGGGCTACAGCAGGGCAAGGGGGAGGCAGAGCAGCCGATTAGGAAGTTGTGGAACTTGTCCAGGAGAGGTGGTGGTGGCCTAGACTAGAGTTGTAGGTGTGCACATGGAAGAAGAAGTGGGCAGGTTTGGGAATATTTTAAAGGTAGAGCTGATAGGACTCAGTGACGGATTGGATGAAGACTATGCAGGATCAAGGACTTTGGTCGGACCTTGGACTTGTTGGGCCTGAACGTCAGGTAGTTGATGGTCCTATGAGCTGAGAAATGGGAAGGCTCAGGGCGGGGAGGGAGTAGATGGGGGAGGGTACACTTAGTGGTCTGTGCCTATTGGATCTCTGAATGGAGATGTAGACAGTTGAGTCTGCAGTTCTGGGGGGAGGTCCAGGATAGAGATACAAGTCTTGTGGTCATTAGCATATAGACGGTAGTTCAGGCCTCGGGACCGGAGGAGCCCATTAGTGGGTGGGCAGAGAAGAGGGCTGAAGCCTGAGCTCTGGGGCATTCAGCATCCAGACCTCTGCTGGGGGCGCAGGGGCCAACAAAGGAGACTAAGAAGGAGTGGCCATTGCAATTTCAAGAGGTCCCCCAACATAAAGAGTTTCAAGAGCGAGAACATAGTCAGCCAAGTGGGGAGGCGGTGTGAGGCGAGGACCTCCCTGGCGAGAGCTGTGTCAGTGGATTAGTGGAGAGAGAGGCCTGGTTGGGTTGGGCTGAAGAGAGAGGAGCCGGGAAGAAATTGGAGGTGATTGGGGTGTGACTGGGGTCAGAGAAGGGGTTTCTTCGTTGTAGTTCTTTTTTCTTGTCGGAAGGAGCCCATACAAGGGAGAAATTGATGATGCCATAACACAAGAAAATATTCGCAGGAGTGAAATCTTGGAAGAGGCGAGAGGGGTGAGGTCCAGAGCATGAGCCAGGCGGAGGAGGCGAGGATAGCTGCAGGGCAGGTGGTGAGTGGGTGGCGGGGGTGGAAGCGGGAGCTGAGGGGGCTGAGGAGGTGAGAGGCAAGGCACAGCTTGGCGTGGGCACTGACGTCGCCAGAACCGAGGGCACGGGCAAGGGTGGTGCGTGGGACAGAGAGCTGCGTGCTGCAGTCCCAGTGGATGGAGGGGTCAGACTCGGAGTTGGAGCTTTTAAAGGGCTGGGGGGATCGCAGCAGGAAGGAGAGAGAGTTTGGAAGCAACCGACAGCAGGGAGAGTACTTTCGCCACCTCCAGCCCTGAGTGTGGAAGACGGAGGGGTTTAAGGGGAGCGGGTTTGGGGGAGCAGTGGTATCTTCAGGGAGGAGCCTGTGTCAGAGCAAGAAGAGGGCGGGTATTCAGAGCCTGTGCTGTTGCCAGGCCAGAGAGCCCAGTGGGAGGAAGTGAGGGGGCCGGGGAGAAATGGAGACAAATTAGGGAGCGTTCGGGGCCAGATCGGGATGGGCTGTGGACGCAGCATGGCACGATGGGGAGCGAGTTGGAACAGGAAGCCTAAAGCAGGAGGGGCAGAGTAGGGGCCCACGGGATGGGGGATGGGCACCGTGGCCCCTGCCTTCCTCTCCAGCCACGTCTCTTAGAGCCTGAGTGTCCTGACAACGCGTTTGGACTTTATCCTGAGTGTCTGTAAGTGATGAGGGCCTGGATAAGAGGCAGACGAGGGAGACTGAGGTTTACGAGTTTGGAAGGAGATGGGGTCAACTCGAACATGCCCCCTGGGAGGTGAAGTAGACAGGGAGACCTGAGCCCCTCACCAGGTGGGCTGGGGTGTGTGTTCCCCGTGCAGAGGCGACCACGGTGGGCCTGTGATGGGAACAGTGGTGGAGCCAGCAGGGACAGGCAGCCAGAAGGGCCCCTGTGACTGGAGTCTCCTCTCCCCTGTAGTCAAGGCCCAGGAGATCCTCCAGGCCATCCGGGGCTACGTTCGCTTCTTCTTTGGCTGCCGAGCCTGCGCTGGCCACTTTGAGCAGATGGCCACTGAGTCCGTGCACCAGGTGGGGAACCTGAGCAGCTCCATCCTCTGGTTCTGGTCTCGCCACAACAAGGTCAACGCTCGCCTCGCAGGTAAGGAAGGGCCTGCCTCCAAGGCTGGAGTCACCTGCAGAGGGAGGGTGAGGCGGGGGAGCTTTGGAGTCTGGGACCAGAGGCAGGAGTCGGGACCTTCTTTGTCCTCTAGGTTACACCCCGTGTTTCATGGTGCTTCTCAGCACCCAGAGCCCTTTCACGTGCTCTGCCAGCCCTGCTGATGTATGTCAGTATCATTAGACCTATTTTCTAGATGAGGAAGCTCAGGCTTTGGCACCGTGAGACCCTGGTCTTCCGATGCCATTGCTCACTCTCTCGCCCACACCAGGGCCCCTCCCTCTGGCCTGTCGGGGTCCCTTTCCTGCCTCGCATGTCCTGCTTTCTGGCTCTTGGCCCCTTACTCAAACCAACAGAGAGGAGAGAGCTGGGCCTCTCCCCGCCCTGGGAGGGGTATAACGATAAAATATACTTGAAGAGAAAATCCTGGTCCTTCCTGGAAAAACCAGGGACCGATTCTCCCGGGAGAGGCCTTGTCTTCTGAATATACCTCATTTACAGTGTTTTCTATTCCCCGTGCACAGGAGTCAGATGGGTCCAACAGGCAAAAGCATTAAACTCCAGAGGTGGCCAGAAGCTGGTGGGTGGGGAGGGAGCCACCCGTGGATGGAGCCTGGGCTTGTCTGTGGGGAGAGAGGAAGTGTGTTTGGCTGGGACAGACCTCCCAGGGGCGGCGGGAGGTGGGGGATGAGGCCTGGGGCGGGGCCAAGGTCAAAGGAGCCCGTGGAGCAGGTGGCTGTGCAGGCGGCTGCACTTGGTCTGCATCTCCTGGGGCCTCCTGGTGGACTTCAAAAGAAGACACGTGCTGTCTCTCCTCCCACCCCTTCTCTCCCTGCCCCTGTCTGCCCCTGCCACCAGATGCTCATTTGACCCTCCAGCCTCAGGACCTGTAGGCTCCTGGCTTCTCTGGGGGCCCAGCTGCTGCTGGAGGGCCAGGAGCCCACGCCTCTCCCTGAAGGGAAGGCCGAAAGGAAGGCAGTGTCCTACTCTCTCTAGAGGGGTCCTTTCAGATCAACTAGTAACAATAATGAGCAGGTGCAAATGGAGTGCTCACTTTGCAAGGCCTGATCACTATGACTTCTCACTGGACCCTTGGAATCTACATGTTGCTCCCTCCCCAAAATAATCATTCTGATTTTTACATCACTTACTGCTGCTGCTTCCTCATTCTGGCCAGCAACTTTTTTTTTTCCTATTAAACCCTTTAGGGGAGGTACCTCCTCCAAGAGAGATGGGCTGATTGCCATTCCCCAGGTGACACTGGAAGAGGGGCCGGTGGCAGGCCCTCTGGGGCTCTGCCCACAGTGCCAGTCCTGCTTGGGGTCCCAGTAGCCTGGTGGGAAGGGCAACTTCTTGACTCTCTCCTGGGTGTCCTTTTCCCCATCCAGGCCCCCAGGCCTCCCCACACCCCACCCCTTGGGGCCCACCGGACGAAGAAATTCCACTAACTCCTACCTACCCCAGAGGGCCGCAGCGGGTAAAGGAGGCGCCTCGTGACTACCATGTGCCTTGGGCTCTTGCTTTCAAAGCACTTTCCCTTTGATTACAAAAAGAATGGCTCTTCACTCGCGTAAAACCTGGGAAATTTTAGAAAAATGCAAAGAAGATACATACTAGTGGACCATCCAGTCTGCAAGACAGGTCGTTCTGAGTCTTCTCGCCCTTTCTCATGTCTGGTCCAGGGGTACAAGCCAGCAGTGAAGTTGACAAAGAGAGACAGCGGGTTAACACGGGGAAGTGACTGGAAGGGAAGCTGTGGAGTTCTGGGGGTGGGGGAGGGTAGGAACGTCCTCTCCCAGAGAGGCACCAGTGTTGGGCCCTGCGGTGGGCCAGGCTCTGTGCTAGGTCTTTCATCTGCCCTCTCTCGCGCCCATCCTTTCCCAGGGCAGCAGTGCCCCCTTTTTGCAGATGAGGGAGCTGGCATTCTGAATGGAAGAATGCGGTCTGGGCTTCCGGGTGGCCAGTGTGTCACAGGCAACCTGTGTGTGCTTCCCTCCCCAGGTGCTCCCAGCGAGGACCCCGAGTTCCCCAAGGTGCAGTGGCCACCCCGTGAGCTCTGTTCCGCCTGCCACACTGAACTCCAGGGTGCGCCCGTGTGGGACCTGGGCAACACCCTCAAGTTCTTGAAGACCCACTTCTCCCCGAGCAACATCGTCCTAGACCTTCCTTCGGCTGGCCTGGGCCCCCGGAGGGGTGCATAGAGGATGGCAGTCCCCCCAAGGCAGGTGGAGCTGGAGCTGGCGATCGGAAATTTTACTCTGGGCCCTGAGAAGGCTGAGATCATGGCGGGCCCAGGGACAATGTCCCCTGGAACCACCATCCCAGATGTTCCAGCAGAGGGACCTGGGGCAAGTCACCCCCAGGAGACGCAGGCTGGCCTCAGCATGGCCAGAGATGAGCCAGACCAGGAAGCTCCTGAGCACATAGCGGGGCTTCAGAGGGATAAGTTGGAGCAGCCAAAAGGGCGGCAACGCTTGAGCAGGCGAGACACAGGAGCCGTGTTGTTGGCTGAATTCCTGGCTGGGAAGAACTTCCCCAGAGGCCCTTCAGAGCTGAGGCGAGTGGGCCGCAGCTCCAAGCAGCTGGCCAGCGACCCTGACGGGGAGCCAGAGGCCGGGGCCAGGCAGGACCGGAGCCAGTGGCTGCAGGTGCTGGAAGGGAACTTCTCCCACCTGGACATCAGCCTCTGTGTGGGGCTCTCCTCCGTGTCCTTCATGGGTCTGCTGGCTGTGTACACCTACTTCCGGGCCAGGATGAGGGCCCTGAAGGGCTATGCCAGCCACCCCGCAGCCCGAACTGTCCAACTTGGGAGGGGGCAGGATAGGGAGCTGCCATCCCTGGGCTCTTCCAGCCCCCTGCACCCCACCCCTCCCACCTTGTTCCTTGTCCAGGAAAATCTAGGAAAACCAGTTACTGCAGCAGACCTCCCTGGGGCTTCTGGGAAGGGATGTTCCGTAGACAGGAAGACATGCACAGGGTCCAGGTTCATCTGCCAGCAGAGGGGGAGGACAGCCTTGGGCAGTGGGGTCGGGAGACTCCATCCTGGGCCTCTCAGCACCGAATTCCTCTTTTTCAGCTTGTTTGAAGTCCTCCCTCATTCTTGCTGAAGCTTCAGTGATTCCCGCTTGGTGTTGGCCCTAAACTGGGGCAAGTGAGGCTGCAGTCTCCAAGGTTTCCCATCTCCAGAGGAGGGGCCCCTGGGGCTGGAGTGGACTCCTTACTACATCCCGGGACTCCGTCCATCCTGCTACAAAGAGCCCTTTGCACCAGAGAAGGAAGGACTGCCTCTGGCCCTCTGTGCCCGCCCGTCCTCCAGCCCCTCAGACCCTCCTGGGTAGGGTTTGGCTTTACGGTGGGCTTCGGAAGCTTCTGGAAGTCATGCTGGTCTCCCAGGTGAGGTCTGTGGGAGGAGGGCCTCTGGCCGGCTCCTTCCCAAACCTTGGGTACAGGAAGGGTACAGGCTGGAATCGGTGTGGTGATGGTACTGGGCTGGGGGCAGGGGGTGGTTAGGGAGGGCTGTTGGGATCTCTAGTGCCTTAGCTGTGAGAGGCTGAGAGAAGCGTTCGCTTTGAACATGCTTTGGCTTCTCCGCATTGGGCTCCACCCCTCTTGGAGCTGGGTCTTTTGTCTCTTGTTGATTTTCATCTCCAAAATAGATGCTAATCTTTACTGTGGAGGGAGGGGAGTGTCATCCCTCTCAAGGGTCCACCTCCCATCCTGTAGAGGTTAACAGGGTCAGAGGGGAGGATGACGCTGTACACATGCTTGATCCCCACTCTGCCCCACGGTCGAGGGGGCTCTGGAATAAATTATTTTTGTTAAGGCAAGCGCCGCTGTGTTCCTTAACTTGCTACTAGTGTCCGGGGCTGGGTAGAATGTGCAAAACCCAGCCTGACCTGGGATGCAGCCAGCTCTCGGGGGGTCAGAGCGCCCTTGTCATAGCCCCTGTCTCCTGGATGGGGCCCTCCCCCACTGTCCACAGAGCTCTCTGTGCCCCGAGCCCCTCAGTCCCGCCTCCCCCCGCCCCCGCTCCCCCGCCCTCCCAGGGAGCACCTGCCCGGGTGCTCTCAGTTCTGCTCCAGGAACCTTGGCCTGCGCCCGCCTGACCCCTCCTCCGGCAGGCGGCCTACATCTCCAGCTCTCCTTGGAGGAAGGAGAGAGGGCTTGTTTTCCAGAGCCAGCCTGGGCTGCCTGCTCAGCAGGGAGGGGTCAGCCAGATTGGAGAGCCTGCCCCTAATCCGGCCTGCTGGGTTCTACAGGGATCAGAGCAGCTGATAATGAACCTCATTAAGGGAGAGCAGGAGCCTCAATCCGATTTGGGGTTTTCTCTTAGACATCTTCGCTCTGCTCAGATGGCCTCGGCCCTGTGTGGAGCAGGTGGGGTGCCAAGCACGCTCCCTCTGCTGGGGCAGCTGGGTGGGGAGGGTGGAGGGGGGCAGGCAGGTCGACCCCCCGCTTCCCTGCTTGTGTTAGCCCTGTGTCACCTCCTTAGCTGCCTGGCGCCTCGGGTGGATTGCAGCCCGGAGCCTCTCTGCAGGCCTCTTGTCTGTCCAAGAGTTTCCTCTCTGTGTCCTTGCTCTAGTCACCCACCTGCCCCCTCCATCCTCCAAGGCGGGCTCGGCTCATCTCCACCCCTGCCCCACGGGGCCCTGGCTGACAGGCTGACAGGCCCACCAGAGGGTGAAAGAGGCTCCCGGGGCCAATGCCCACTGGGCCAAGACCGCTTGAGTACGCCCGCTCCCTCACCCCCTGGAACCTGACACGATGCCAAGAGCAGAGGATTTCTTCCAGCCAGCCCTTATGGCTCCAGTGACCGTATTTTCTAAAACCAGGCTCGGGTGTTCAGAATTAGGACGAGGCTGGAAAAGCTGATGGAGCAGCCCCAGCTCCACGGTGACTGCCCACAGTGGCCGAGGCAGGAGGCAGGGCCTTACGTGGGGCCACCAGGGCCCTGGTGGTGGCTGTGGGTCCCCTTCGTCACCGCGGCCTCTGGCAGGCAGCCGAGCATCTTTTCACCCTGTCCCAGCCCCTCTGATTGATAAACAGGGGTGGGCCTCCTCCTTAGCAGGACTGCTGCCTTTCACCTTGATTTCCCCAGGGCTCTTAGAAGCATCGATAAACCCGCTTCACCCACCAGCTGGTCCCCTCCCCCAACCCGGGCTGCCAGCCTGGGAGCTGGGGCTTCTGTGGTTTGAATGCAGCCCGCCTGTCGTTCTAGGTTGTTCTCTGCACCTTAGCAGAGCTCCCATGCAGGAGAGGTTCCTCAGAGGAGCCCTGCAAAGCAAAGGGCCCTTGTTCTGGGGCCCGACAGAGGATTTCACCACTGCCTGGGATGTTACATACTGAGTTCAGGGATGATTTCCGGGAGGAGGAGGGAGCTGGGCTGGGGTTTGAAGGATAAGTGGGTATTAGCAAGGAGAGCAAGGAGGAAAAGACGTCACAGGCAGAGGAGAGAGCACACGCCAAGTCCAACACAAGAAATTCTAAGCAAAAAGCTTCAAAAAAAATTTAAGGATTTTTTTTTCCAATGCTGCACGGGGCTAGAAGCTGGGGATAAACAGAGGAAAGAGACGTGCTGTTATGGAGCTTACGCTCTAGAGGAAAAGACAGACAAGTGAGGAAAAAATGACAGACTGTGGGAAATGCTCCAAAGGATAAAGAACGGCAGGGGGATGGGGAAGTTTCTCTGAAGCCTGAAGGAGGGAAAGCCAAGAAGGGGTCCCATGGACAGGGCTGGAGGGACCACCAGCCTGAAGGGCTGCTTCATTCAGAAGCCACCCCTGGGCTGTGGAGGGCCCAGAGCGGGGGCCCACCTCTCGCCTGGCCCCTGCACGGCAGCCTTGGCACAGGATGGGCAAGGCTTGGCAAAGGTGGAGGCACCCCTGCCGAAAGGAGGGGTAAAGCTAAGGGGGACAGCCAGCCCATGGGGGCATAGGCCTTGGGCACGTAGAGGAAGACTCAAGGAGCATCTATTTAGATTCTAGGGTGAGATCTACCTGGCAGGGCTGGCAAGTTTCCAGGTGCTTCTTTGGCAAGACTTACTCATCTCTACACTGAGAGAGCAAAAGGCCTCTCCCTACCTAGGGCGGCTGGGCTCCCCCAGAGAACAGCGGGCCTCAGTGCTGCCTGTTAACCTCCTTCCTCCACCACCGCAATGGCACGTCCTGCCCTCACCACTGTCTTCCTGGAAGCCTCTGCCACGGCAGAATTGCAGCTTGTGGTTGGACGGGACCAAAACCTCGTCTAGGTTGACTCTGCTCTACCGTGTCCCCATCAAGTTCTCAACCCTCAGCGCTTCCGATGGTCACAGAGTTTAGCAAATAATGTTAAGAATATTGATCCTTTGATAAAAACTCAACTAAGATCCCATTTTTACACCATACACCAGAGTAAATCCCAGTGATGCAAAAATTAAGGCATAGGAAAATATAGCTGAATACTTTACTGTGTTTTAAGCACAAAAACAGTGGAAAAGGTAACTAAGGTGAGAGTTTGAACTACTTGATAACACCAATTTTTAAAAATAAGTTAAAAATAAAATCAAGCTACCTATTAAAAGAACTGGGAAATATATGTGATAAATATCACAAAAGAGGCACTTCCAACTGGTGGTCCAGTGGTAAAGAATCTGCCTTCCAATGCAGAGGATGCAGGTTCAATCCCTGGTCGGGGAACTATGATCCTACATGCCGTGGGGCAACTAAGCCCACGTGCCACAACTACTGAGCCCACGTGCCGTGGAGCCCATGTGCCCTGGAGCCCACACGCCACAACTAGAGAGAGAAAACCTGCACGCCACAACTAGAGAGAAGCCCGAGTGCTGCAGTGAAGAGACCGTGTGCCACAACTAAAAGATCCTGCATGCTGCAACTAAGACCCGACACAGCCAAAAATAAATTAAAAAAATATTAAAAAGGAATATGTCCATTATGAAATATGCCATCTTCAGAAGGAGAGCAATTTGCAAGTATTGACCTAAGATGTCCAAGGATACATTTCTGTTAACATAAATATTACTATTTATTACTATATTAATAAATGTACATATTTAACACTGTAATTATTGAATGTAATTTAATGTAAATGTAAAATTATTAAATGTAATATATCCATCTATATTAATAATGTAATTTATAGCATTGTTTTTTATATATATATATATGTTAATGTTTGGCTAGAAAAAGTCTGGAAGAATATACACCAAACTGTGACCAGTGCAGTTAGATCTAGAAAGTGAGGTTGGGTGGACTTAAAACAGGGCAGGGACTAGAGTGATCAAGGGAGGTATGTAGGGTGCAAAACTTAAGGAGATGCTTATCTTCAGGGTCCCACTATTTCAGGTCAGCCCCTGAGAGTGAGTGCCTCCTTAAATTTGGTGCCAAGGGGCCTCCATAGCCTCACCCTCATCCTGGCTCTGACTTAAACACTTAAGTACGTTTTTGAATTTTTGCAATAAACATTTTTGAAACAAAAAAAAAACAAGGAAAATAAATAGAATTAAAGGATCTTACAGGTCTATTGTAAATAAGAAAAGCACTAAAGCCCTATTAAAAATGATGGGCCAAAGTATTAAAACCAGAAGAGAGATGCCACTTTTGTCTATCCTGTTGGCAAAAATGGAAGGAAAAAAAAAAAAAGATAGTGGTAGCTAGAGTGAGAGGAAATGAGATGCATCAGTTATCTATTGCTGTGTAACAAACCACTCCAAAGCTTAGCAGTTTGAAACAACAACAGTCGTTCATTTTGATCACAAGTCTGCACCTTGAACAGAGTTTAGCCTAAAATGGCTCATCTCTGCTCCATGCAGTGTATCTGAGTGTGGTCCATCTGGCAAGTTGATGTTGGCTGTCACCTGGAAGCTCAGCTGTGCAGTGGGCAGGAGGCCTCAGTTCCTCTCCACGAGGGCCTCTCCATGGGCTGCTTGGGCTTCCTCACAGCATGGTAGCTGATCTCCAAGAACAAACATCCAAAGAGAACAAGGTGGAAGTGCATGGCATTTTTATGTGCTAGCCTCAAAAGTCAAATAGCATTACTTTTGCCATTCTTCATTGGTTGAGGCAGATTTAAAGGCTCACCCAGGATACAGATACAATGGGCTTCCCAGGTTCAAGAAGAGGAGTCCCAGGCTCCACCTTTTGATGGGTCAGTGATAAAAAGTTCTGGAAAACTATATAAGATGGAAGAGATTGTTGAGGTCACCTTCGTACAATCTGCCACAGAGCACTCTCAAACACTGCTAGTGGTAGTATAAACTGATACAAATTTGGGGATATATGTAATGTTTAATGTAATGCAACTGGTAATAAGTTTTAAAAGCTTTAAGAAAATATATAACCTTTGATCCAACAATTCTATTTTTGGAATCTATCCTAGGGAAGTAATTGAGGATATTTACTAAGATTTGCTACATGATGAATATTTATAATACCAAAACAAGATTGACCTAAAGTCCAAAATAGGAGATTGATTAAATTCTGGTACATCGTTACAGTGGAATACAATACAGCCAACAGAAATGATTTGAATGTTTTTTTGTTTGTTTGTTTGTTTGTTTTTGCGGTACGCGGGCCTCTCACTGTTGTGGCCTCTCCCGTTGAGGAGCACAGGCTCCGGACGCGCAGGCTCAGCGGCCATGGCTCACGGGCCCAGCCGCTCCGCGGCATGTGGGATCTTCCCGGACAGGGGCACGAACCCGCGTCCCCTGCATCGGCAGGCAGACTCTCAACCACTGCGCCACCAGGGAAGCCCTGAATGTGTATTTTTTAACCTGAAAATATTTCCACATCATATTGGTAAGTGAAAATATGAAGTTGCAGAAATAGTATGA